TGGACAGGAAAAGCAGACTCTTGCGAGCCACAAACTTAGTTCCACGCCGACAAGCTCAGTGACTCAGTCTTCTGTCTTCAAAATACAACTCTCGCAGAAATCAGAATCCAGGCCCAGGGGTCTTTAGCCGGCCACAGCACACATATGCACACACACTCAACCAAAGAACCAACCAACAAACCTGCTCTCCCTTGACCCTCCCTCCCCCCTCGGTTAAATTTGGCACGGTGTGCACTGTCCAGTGTAAACTATTAAACAAACCCCTGCTCGCATGCTACGGCGAGTGACAGGGCAGCTGGCCAATGATCTTGTCTGCTAAGTCTGTCTGGCCACAAGTGTTCCCGAGATCTAAATATATCACAAGGGTCTCTTTTCCTATCATGGGGGTGGAGATGGGATGGTGGTGGTGCAGGAATGATTTGGAGATGAACAACTACTGGCATCCTGAAGTTCCAAATCACAGTGACAGGAAAGGGGTAAATGTATTTATTTATTAAAAAAGCTGAGTTTCAATGAGTTAAAATCCTAGCTACTAAACACAACAACTCACTTCAGACATATTTCATTATTTCATCAGGTACTCAAAGAAACAACACACTGCATGTTTGCTAAATAATTTCATATTATCTGCCAGTTTATTTCTTCATAATCCACAATGTACACTGTTTCAACCCATTGTATAGTTTATCAGGGTTGATTACCTGGATGTAAAATGCTACAGGTGCATTTAGAAAGGGTTTTTTGTATGTTACACGCACACATGGCAAACGATTTGTATAAACAGCTACTTTACATTTTATTTACATTTACAGGACAAGTGAGATGTTCACTAATATATCGTGATGGTTAATACTAGGGTCTGTTAAACAGTACGTCAGCTGCAAACATTTATTTAAGCCCACTGGAAGAAAATTTTACAAAGATGAAAAGTAAGGAAAGGTATTCTAACTCAAGGATATATCTGCAGTAATGAGACTGGACAAATTCTAAGCTGAGGTACCTCTGCAGACAAGCGGAAAGGACTAACACCGACATTTTTAACTTTTTGGGGATTATGAGCTGAAAATTGATGAAGGTTTACCGACAAGTCAAAGTGAACACACATGTAGAAGCCACAATATTAAAACCGCTGATGGTTGAACATCCTTACAAAACAGTGTTCTCTGTGGAAACTTCTTTCCATGCGTGAGAGTGCTACCATCTGAACACAACAGATCAAGGTAGTAACCTGGCCTCCAAACTCTCCAGACACACAACTTCAAAAAGTCGAAGTTTCATGCTTCAGTGCATTTGAGCTCTTTTGATGGCATGATATTAGGCAGCTGGTTTCAACACTGTGGCTTACAGGCACCGGTGATGACATGGCAATCATGTTTGGACAGTATTACATTGTTTTGTTTTGAATTGAAAATTTATTTTCTAGCACCAACTGTAGCAACAAGCGGTCTACATTAAGTTCAGAAAAAAATCAGTGACCATCAAATAAAATCTAACCACCATACTGTTAACAGCTGTTCAAGTCATTTTACCCATTTATATGTGCTTTCCTATACATCCACTAGCTTCTAATGGTTTCATTTTTTGAATTTCTCATCCAGCATTTCAACTCCTTCAATAACCTCTGATTTTTAAAGGACCAAAGTGATGTTTCAGAGCATTTCGGTTGACTTTTACCATTACGTGTTTTCGTTTGTTTAGTTTGGAATCGTGGCGTCCACAATTTTCTTAAATTTCAGTATCGAATGATCTGCTATGGTGTGGACTTATGTACAGATTACAAACCCTTTTCCAAACAGCAATCTTTACAGACTTTTTGCACCAATTATAACTGGTATGTTTTAAATTGCTCATATTCAACAACAATTCTGTACACCTGTTTTATTCTTCTAAGAATACTGAGCTGCAACAACAATACGGCTGTTACAAAAACAAGGCATCACACTAATAGTCAGCCTAAGCTTGTCAACAACTTGACAAACTGCTATTTATACTAAAAAAATAATATAATGGAAGCCTTCAGAAGCATTGTGGAATCCAGAAAAAAGAAAAACAAAGAAAAAAAACCCTAAAGATCTAATCAAGGTAAGCTTGGTTTTACTGTAACAACAGCCACCTTGGATTTGAGTTAAAATGTTCTTAAGCACCAGTTTGGTCTTTAAACCTTCACTACAGACTCTAGTTTAGGCGAGAACGGCAGCCAATATTTGTGAGTAAAAATGAACAGATAAAAACAAGTATCTAAGATCCACTGACTGAATTATGTATAAATAAATAGCCAAAAAGCTGAAATTGACCTAATACACAGTATATACGTGACTTTAATGCATGAGATACTACGTGGTCAGGTGAGGTTACTGCTTATTAGTTCAAGAGAGTCTCAGAAAGCAGAACACCTCTCACCCCTCTCGGCTGGGCTCTTTTTGGTCACAGTGAACTTAGACTTGAGAGAATGATCTGCTATCAGCTGATTGATTTCATTTTGCTTGTAAGTGGACAATCTTTGGCTTATCCATGGTAACTTTGACTCGTCTTCAGAGCTGCGGAAGGACCGTTTGCAGGCCCTGCCTATGAGGTACACCACCTCTGCCAGGTTGAGCAGCACACACACCGCAGACACTGCCAGCATGAACACAGTGAATATGGTCTTTTCTGTCGGTCTGGAGACAAAGCAGTCCACCGTATTGGGGCAAGGGAATGAGTCACATTTCACCAAACGCACCATCTTAAAGTCAGGATAGATCAAGTAAAAGATGTAGAGAAAAGCCACTTCGAAAATTATTCTAAAGATGATACTGATCATGTATGTCCACCACAGAGCGCCCGTGATCTGAAACTTCTGGTTCTTGATGTGTTCCAGCTCTTTGGGACTACTGCGGCCTGCCCTCTTCAGGATCTTCTTGTCGATGTGCCTTCGGTGGGCTACGTGCATGGCCACTAAGAGTGCAGGGGTGGAGACCAGGATGAGCTGGAGTGCCCACAGACGGATGTGTGAAATTGGGAAGAACTGGTCGTAGCAGACGCTATTGCAGCCGGGCTGCTGGGTGTTGCAGGTGAAGCCGGACTTTTCATCGCCCCAGACGCTCTCCGCAGCAACCACCAGGACCAGGATGCGGAAGATGAAGATGACAGACAGCCAGACGCGTCCGATGCCAGTAGAGTGCCTGTTTACACCGCTGATCACGGCATAAAAGGACCCCCAGTTCATTTTCGACTCCAGGTCTGGGGAAAAGGGGATTAATATAAGTTTTTACAGGTGTAGGCAGTTACATGTGTGGGATGCTTTGCATCTAAAAATCACCCAAAATTCTAATTACTAAGAAAATTTACTCCCTTTTTTATTACTGGCATGAAGTCACAATGGCTTGCCAGTTAAATAAGGTCTTTAGACTATAACTGCACACAAAACTTAGCATTTCAGAAAAAATCGAACCGGTGTAACATGAGTAGTTAGAGGTTTACCAGGCTCAGCCGGCGGTGCAAGCGGCGTAAGCAGCACCGGGTCCAAAGATGACCATCTTGAAGTATGACCTGAGCATCAAGCCGGATTTGGCAGTCAGGAACAACAGACAAGAATTGCCAAGTAGCCTGCCGGCTGTATAAAAACAGGGGCGATGGCCTGCCATCATGCACCGTCAGAAGACGCAACAGGTTGAAACCAATTGCAAAACATTTGCAGAACCACGTGATATGCTCATCCTGTATTAATACTCTACTCCCAGGCTGGCTTACAGCCCAACTGCAGACAGACTGACAGACTGCCAGCAAATTTCTCCAAGGGAGCAGCAAGACATGCATCTCATTGAGGCTTTCCTTTTTTTTTTTCCCCTTGAGAGATCTCTATTGTTTGAGAATAGCTATGTTCTTTAAGGTTTTCCTTTAACAGATCTTAAAATTATGTGACTTTTAAAGCATATTCAGTAAAACATTGCTACCATAAAGGGAATGATGATGAGACCGTAAGCATGCCAAGTATTTGCCAAGTCAAGTCACTGGGGCATGTCAGTCATCACTCACCCCAAATCCAACCTCTCACTGAATGTTAGTATAAAACAATTAGAAAGGAGATAACATGAATTTTTACCTTCAGCTGCTGGTGGTACACAAAAATGTGTACAAAATGGGAAGAAATAAATTCAAATTTGTGTTTTTTAGCGAGCCAAAAGGCTGGATTGAGAACACCATGCGTTTGGAAAATGCTAATCATTCCTCCGCCACTAGCCACTGCCCTGCACCGTAGCGGTCATATGCTCTTATATAAACTATTTACATACAATGGCACCCTTTATGGGGCTGCAACAAGACTCTTTCAGAATTCAGATCAAACGCCTCGATTTCCGCCTACCCCGGGGCAAAAGAAAGAATCTGTGTGGACACAAAAGGCCTCAGCCTGCCACATTATTTATTGTGCTTGGCAGGGCAGGGAAGTGAAGGACGCTGTTGACCCGAGTCACTGCTGCTGCGACATTAACAGGTTTACGAATTCACACAGATTATATATGAACTAGGGAACTACTGCATAGTCTAATGGAGTGGCTAATTTGAATGCTACAGCACTTTAAAAGATTGATTTGATTAAATTGTCATTTGCACTTTAAAAATAAAATACAGCTTTAATTTTTGATGTTACCTAGACTTTTTAATTCCAACAATACTAGCACAAGAATATATTAACCCAGTCACACAGGTTAGTCCAGTTAAGTCCAATATAACATGTTACCAAATGGTTCATATTAAAAGTTATTATTTACATAGCACCGTCAACAGGTTAGTTGTGGTCACACCCCCTTCCACGTAACAGTAGAAACCATGATTTACGGCAACACAACGTGGTCATTTGTCATGTACAATCAGATGACACACAGTGGCTCACTGTGCCATGGGTTTTCCTGCATCACTCGCAGGCCGTAGTGGGAGGGTTTGGGTGGCCTGCTAATAATCTGAATGAACTGCACCTCATTTACATTCTCTCTACACAAGGAAGAGACACAAATGTGCAATTGTAGCAAACACATCTTTATTTCAAAGGCAAATCTGCACAAATAATGATAGGTTTGCCATTGCATAAGAACAATATTATTAAGTCAGCAAAGCTTTTCTGTGATCAAAGAAAAATTATACATTTAAAAAACAAAACCAAAAAAGACCTGTTGTACCATGCAGATAAGGTAATAATATAGATATGAATACAACTTAATAGAAAGCGGGTAATCAGACTGAGCAGGCACTGTCTAGTGGCTAAAAATAATCAGGACTTGAAATACAGTTCTGTTCTTAAACACAGCAAAATGGAACAGGTTAACCAATATCTTTAAATTATACAGTCAAAATAAAACAAGCAAAACTAGCTTTGTATGCTTTCCCTGTACATAAAGAATAAAAGCTCGAGATACAAAAGAAAAACATGACTTAATGTGTACTAGTCCAGTTAATCCTTTATAAATCTACTTTTAATTTCTTTCTTTCTCTCTCTCTCTCACACACACACACACGCACACACCTGAACTACTTCCTTTGAGTGTAGCATGATATGAGATACTTCTCCCAGTCAGAGTCCTGTTTCTGGGCTTTAAGCTGAACACTGTCTACAAAACAAAACGGAAAATTGTGAATATCAACATAGAGCGGTGACAATGAGGAATAAACACATCGCATTGAAGTATATTAGTGTAGTGTGGACTCTTAGAGAAAATGCATTTTTAAAATATAATGTAACTTACTTCTTTTGATGAGACTGGTCTTCTTAAGTTTGCTGTGGATGGCGTGTCCATTCTGGGCCAGTCTCAAAGACAATGAAGCACCCCTCCTGAAATGATGTGTTAAGTGTGTTCATTACTTATTGGTCCTTTTTGAATGTAGAGTAGATGATTGTATTTTGCCTATTTGTGGCACAAACAGAAACAGTGCTGTGCAAAAGTCTTTCTGAAAGCCTGGACTACAAAGTGTTTCTTTGAACCTTGCTGCTTTTTTGCTCATTTTAAGAGGAACATTTGTTAAGCCACCCAACACTGTGGCCTTTAAATGATTTGAGCATTAAGAAAAGAAAAAAGAAAAAGTAAACTACAGCCTGTTGCCTGTTTATGTTTTCCCATTTCTTTTGCTGAATCTATGAAAAATGCCAAAGATAACAGTTTAACAGGCATAATAATATTTTTGCATCAACAAGGTGATTCCTAAAGAGCTATGAACTTAACACTTAGCATATTTCAGCATGGAGTGCAGTGTGTCCTCAAAAGACTTTGGGCAAACTGGACAAGAAGAGTACAAAAGAAGTAGCAGGCAAAATCTGTGGCGACAAGGTCTTATGAGGATGAAACTTCTGGTGCCGTCATGGTTTGAGGTTCCATTTCTAGCCAAGCCAACTTATATTAAAAATAAATAAATAAATAAATAAATAAACAAAGCTTAACAGAGGAAACGGAAAAAAGAGTTTCAGCCAGAGGTACTGGGGATCTTGTCATGACTGATGAGTACTGTTAAGATTTTGATCCACCACCATGCAATGCCATCTGCAAGGCATCCAACTGAAGATGGCCAATCAGCATGACAATAATCCCAATGTCACTGCTAATACAGTAAAAGGATACCTGGATAGAAAACCGCAGTCAGTAATGAACTGGCTGCCTCAAAGCAGATTACTGAAGCAGTGTGGGATCATCTCGACAGAACAAAAGGACAGCAAACTTCCCAAGAAGAGTGCTGAATGACCTTCAAGAAGCCCGGAGAACTATTCCTGAAGACCATTTAAAGAAGTGACAAGGAAGCTGCCTAAGAGTTCACGCTGCATTCAAAATGATAAGTGGTCATTCCAAATATTGATTTTGAAATTTGTAAGAATTGTGCAAACTCTGTTTTTGCCTTATTTCCTGCATTTCCAGGTATGTTTGCATATGTTTCAACAAACTGCTGCACTTGTTTTCCTAGCAAAATACATGAAAGGAAAGGAAAAAGAAATGGGTTGTGGCTCAAGACTTTTTCACATTACTATACAGTCACCATGCTACTTCTTAATTTAACAATTTACATTGTTTAATGGTGACGTAATAATTTTTTTACTGTTAAAATTCTGTCCACTGAAACTTTTTACGCCACAATTAATTGACTGTGTTTTATGTTTCGATACCTCATGGCTCCGAGCTTTCCCTTCTCCATGAACAGCTCGACTGTAACTTTGCCTTCCTGTGGGTACAGCCTAGCATAGAGGGTCCTGTTGTGTACAGTAGCTTTGAACCAGCCGACTGCCTCCTCAGACCAATCTCTCCCATTCAGAGGCATCACCTAAGGGGTAGGAAATACACACAAAATACCATGAACTGAGATAATTCATTTCCTTTTCTCACCAAGTAACAGATAACGCTGTGACTAATAGTGGACAAATGCAAATAATTAAGCCCACACTCTCACAGCACAGCTTTTTAACATTTCCATGTATGCAAACTCTGGCAGGGACAGTCCGTATGACTCTCTCTGAATATTTTTACATGTCCATGCAGGTGTACTGTAAATCCACTTACATTAGTCAGTGAAACCTGCACAGCCTGAAGTGGTATAGTAGCCATTTCAGGGGTCAGCTCCTTTATATTTGACAGTGACAGACAGGCAGTGTCACCATAGTCCAACCTTTTCACTTCCACCTTGATGGATGTCTCTGTCCCAGCACCATCTTACATCCAAAAGACAGAGAGCATACAAAGCAAGACTAAAAATCCAGTGTGATATTCCCAAGTGGCTACCAGGAAAACAAAGTGACACTGCTACCATCTAGAGGCATACATCTGCAAAAACATTTCAACACAAGGACAGAACCCACCTCTGCTCACGCCACATATCTTTATCACCTGGCTCCTGCACCATTGTTCTCGCTCGGCGACCCAACCCATTACTACGGTTCCAATATCTGGAATGCAGTTCTGCTCAGCATTTGAACTACTGGCTTTCCAGCTGTGCCAAATGAAAATAATAATGATGATGACCAGAAACATGTGGGTTATTAAAAAAGAAAAAAAAAAAAATCTACAAAGAAAACGGTTATGAATAAAAGGCATAAATGGCTCTTTAAGTTCTGAAAATGTCATCAGTGAATCAGCGGGAAAATCTGAGAAAAAGCAGACTTAAGTTTAGCCTCAGCAATGAATGACTTACTCTGTGGCAAAGGCCTGTAGCTTCTCATGGGAGTCTGCCTGCTGGATGTAGAAGTTGCTCGGACTCACAATGTGAGACACCACAACCTCAGTCTCTTCAAATCTTCGGATTTGGAAATCGGGAATCTTTAAACTGTTGGTTGTTGCCATTTTCGCACCATCAGAACTGTTATCACGTTCAGGCTCTGCGCACTTGGGACTTTTGGGTTTCCAGTGGATATTCACACCCACGATCTCTGGCTGAGTAGTTATATTTTGGCAGTCTTCACTTCCCAAGGGACCAGGATCAGAGACCCTCTCCACTACCTCTGCGAAGATGTCTCCAATATCCCAGAGTTCAGTTTGTGTTGCAATCACGCAACTATAGATGAGAGAGCCACTTGACTCGGCTTTTTTCACTCTGAAGACTGGGGCTCGGGTTTCAAACTTTGCATTCAAAGTTTTTGGAGCAAGAACTTCTACCAGATCGGTGACAACGTGACTGAACTGGTCTTTTTGTGGTGTAATGGTAGGTGACACAGGCTGCTGTAAATCTGAACTGTATGCACGTTTAGCCCACTCCATGGCCGTGACCTCCAGTGAACCCATGTTTTTAACTTTTGCTCTGAGGAAGTGCAGCAGCTGGGAGGATGTTTGTTTTTGGTGTTGCACCTTGACATCATCTTCACATCCCCAGTGTAATAGTGGTGTGGTGTTCATGGGTTTTGGGTTACTGAGCTCGGGGAAAACAGCTTTTAAGGGAGGTAAAAGTATTTGAGGCCTCTCTGCACTTCTGTCACGGCTCTCATCAGTGACAGGTGGAAAAATCCCAGCATCCACTTGGCTCTTCTCCTCAAAATCAACCTGCTTTTCTTCAACCTTAAAATCACAACTTGAAGTCAAAACAGTGCTGGTGAGGCTTGAAGAACGCCTGCATATCATGTTGTCCTGATAGCCTGCCGCAGGCTTCGAGGTGAGGAAGCGTTGTAGCTGCTGAAGAGACACCGTGGCTCCCAGTACCTGGATTGCTTTTGCTATTGAGCTCGCCATCAGCGAGTTCTTTAACATGGGCCCAAACTTAAAAACATCTGTAATCTGAATCTCTTTGATGCCAAGCTGCTGTATCTGATTTCCGCTGACTCCATTTTTAACCTTAGGAAGAAGACAAACCTGCGGGTCTGACAGGGAAAGCAGGCAGCAGAGGTTTATTAATACAGTTACTTATCCATCTGTAGCTATACGATTAATTTATAACTTACCAGCTGTGAGGTCCTTTAATGAAGCTGAAAGCTTTGCGACTGTTTGACATTTCACATCTAAAGCTTTTGAGAGATCGCTGAACAAGTTCCTGGGACAAGATGAATTCAGGTAACCTTGGACATCTTTATAGGCCTGGTTGTAAAAAAGGGGGAAATTTGTGTGGTTTATTTAAAAATACACATACATTGTGTTTATTAGTTCAGAGGAAACCAATTTTGGCAGTCAGCTGATATTTCACGTTTTTGTAATGACGAACACACTGTACCTTTTTCCATTGGTCTTAGCAATATCAGCTAATGTAAGTAAATGCATTAATTAGTCGCTCGCTTGCCAGCTAGCTTTACCTTGATGGTGAAGTTGCGAAGGTCTTGTTCAAGTTTATTCCGGGCATTTTCCAGCAAGAACAGCTGGTAAGTTAACTGCACTTTCTGGGAAATCATGGAGGGCGCCGACTGGAGGGTGACAGCCAGCTGGTGAGGAGCCATGGCGTGCGTGACCCCTGCCAGTATGACTGGTGGCTAGTTAGCGGCTAGTTAGCTAGCCAATTAGCGTTATTATTCCTGACTTTGACGGTCCTTTTCTTTTCATAGATTTTCTTGGGGGTTCCGCAAATTACCATAGTGGAACGATTCCTTTTAGTCTACTTTTTGACCTCGGTTTCTTCTTTAAAAACCCGGTTGTCATAAAAATGTATCCCACTCCTTTTTCCACCAATGCCAGGCCGCCATCTTGAGAAGAGGCCCCAGCCAGTAGAGGTGGGCGGAATGGATCGAAAAATAAACCTCAAATATGCACTATGAAGAAAGTCCAAACCTTTTTGTGTGGTTTAGAGACAGAAAAACTTGCATTCCAGGTCTCCAAAGACTCCGTTTCAAAAGACCTGAAAAGCTGAAAGTGGTGTTTTGTTGCGTTAACTGATTATTGTGGAAAGTAATCATTGATATAGTAGTGATTAAAACGATAATTCATGGCATACTACTCTCCCCCAATTAGCTACCCGAATAACAAATAGTAACCAATCCTGGCCCTGCATTTACTTGGTATTGGATCGATACCAATATTTGTAGCATGGAACAGCATTACTGTGAATGAGGGAAATGTGAATGTTGATTTTTTTTTTTTTTTTTTTGCTAAATGTGCCTGTCTCTAAAGTACTTTGCGTCTACATCTGTTTTTAAAATGATTAAAAAAAAATAGATTTCAGACATCTTTCATAGTGCATGTTTGATTTTTATTTTCATTTCCAATTAAATTAACAATTAAAAGAATTTAGAACTTCTTTTTTTTTTTTTATCAGACAGCATTTGACAGTCTAGAGCAAGGATGTCAAGCTCATTTGACATAGTGGGCTGCATAGAGCCCACTTTGATCCATAAGAAGTTTAACCATCCATTGAATTTCTCAGATATCTTCATATAACAAAAAAGAAGTACATTTTAAGCAGAATGTCTCAGTTTTTCTACACGATAAAGAAATGCTGCTGTATTAAATGGAAGAAATCTGTCCATATTGTAAGTACTGGATGTAACAGACTATGACTTTCTAACTGTGGACCCTCTTTAAAAAGATAGAAGTTTCAGTTGTAGATATTGCATTTAACTGTTTATCTATTATTTAGTTACTTTGGTGTGTTATGAATGGTTACGAAGGAGGTCCTTATCAGTAGAAAAAGCTGTCAACCTTATAGAAAATACAGTTAAAAGTCCCAAATTTATGCCCTTTTTCTCAATTTTTTTCCAAGTCTGTCTAGTTGGACAGAATGGAGTCTTTGGCGGTCTGATTCTGGCCCAGGGGCCATGTGTTTGGCACCCCTGGTGTAGAGGTAGAAACAGAAAGTCGTGCAACTTTGCATGCAAGCTGTTGCTAATGTCTAAATGCCAGTAACTATCAACACCAAGAAGAAGAATGAATACAATTTACTTGTTGCATTCCTATGGTTTGACACCTAATGCTATCCACACAGTGTTCTTTTCTTCAAGTGCTCTTTGCTTGAACTTGTCAAGCTGCTACTTGATCTAGAAGCTGAAACGTGTGGGTGGGGCAATACAGACATTTTACTAAAGTTAATATTGCTCAAGAGTTAGATTGATAGGCAGTTTTGCTGTACCCGTGATAATGCTGACATCACATATACTGGTTCCAGTTGCAAAACGGCACTTTGCATCAGTTTCAAGAAGAGGGATTTGCCAATAGGAAGACAGCAAGAAAGATTGCTCAATGGCATATCTTTTTTTTCTTTTGGTGTACATCCAGAGGTACTTGCTTACAATTTCAAATATCTTTTCATGCCATTGCCAGTGGATCAGAATTGTAGGATGCAAGTCAAAGTTTAATGTTGTGTTGCTTAGTTTCACAATCTTAATGGATGACCTTCTCTGATCATGACCTTACAGTTAGGATTCTATGACTTGGTGGCATTTCAACTATAATTGTTCACCTTCCCACCTCATTGATTTATTTTGTAGATACTGAAATGCGGGGAATGGTATTCTTAAATAAAGAACTGCACGATATCGTGGTTATTCAGTGCGACATGTTTATTATGTAAACCATACACCGTTGCAACATCTGACCACAGTCTCCAGGGTCAGAGCCACACATTATATATTACAGAACAGGCTGGTATAATGACATTTCTTGTATAAAGACAAAATAAGCCATTCTTATTTAAAAATATATACAAATCAATATGTTTAAACAAAAGCTCTCTTACAAGGGTCTATATGGCAATTGTGTTGAATTATTCAGGAGTCCAGTCGTGACTCTTGGAATGTTCTGCAAGGCTTCATAGACGTCATAAAAATGTAATCCATTGGCTAAAGCTTTTAGTTTCAAAACAAACATTCACGATGAAGAATGGATACGAACTCTTGTGATTCTTGATTTGACGTGCACTGTAACCAAACCACTTGGGAATCAGTAATGCCAATTTCCAGTTTAAGATTTTAGCTTCAGAGGTCACGAAAAGTTTGCAGGTATGTCCTGTAAGACTGTAATGTGCAATAACCACAATCTTCACTTTTCCACCAAGTTTATGGTATGCTTACTTTACATAGCCCATGTGCATGTCTAAAATTATCTAAAAAAAAAAAAACTGTAAAAGACTGATTTGAGACTTCACACCATAACAGATCTCTGTGTGCAGCACAGCTTCCTGCTGAACATGATGAAAACTGCTAACAAAACAATTGCAAATAAGACAATTATCATCATTTGTCCAAAATGAACTTCCTGTGCCTTTGTGCGCAATGAACAGTACAATGAAGGGTTCATCAGATATTCTGTCACCGTAAGGTTTCTAACTCTCGTAAAGCATTCTGCCTCACTGATATCGGGCACTGTAATCTCCGTCTCATTTAAGACCATCAACCATCTGTTGTCACAGCAGTTGAAAGGATTCCCGCTTATATGCATGACGGTAAGGTTTGTGGATAAAGCACGAATCAACGAAGGGTTTAAAGTTATAAAAACATTATGTCTTATGTCAATTTCTCTCAGGGGAGAACAACTTAAACTTCTGGGAATTGTATCCAGCAGGTTGTTCGATACGTTCAGGTGGGTTAATGCCGGCATGCACGGTAGAGACAACAGACGAGAGCTGGTTAAGTTGATCTCACTGATAATTAAGGACTGAAGAGTTGTTTGCACACCTTCTAGCGCCCCCTCTTGCATGACCAGTGATGGATTTTTTGCAAGGCTGAGGGAAACCAAAGAAGTCCCCTGAAATGTGTTAGGCTGAAGCATTTTTATGCCATTTCCTTTAAGATTGAGGTGTTTTAGAGTCCCTAAGTAGGCGAATTCAACACAAAGGTCATCAAGATTTGTTTGCTGTGTTGAGTTAATGCTTCCTAAGTGATCAGCAGAAGTGCAAGGTTGGACTGAGTTGTCTTGCAGATTTAGTCTTTCTATTTGTGCGAGTGCACTGAGAAAAGGTGGGGAAATATATACCAGCCTGTTGCTTTGCAGGTCAAGGTGCTTTAGGGAGCGGAAGAAAAGCTGGCGAAGGGGTCCTGAGTCAGAGTCATTTCTCACATCCCAGATGATGCTTTGTAGACAGTTATAGCTGAGATTCAGAGTTTCTAAAGACAGCAATAGGCTTAAAGTCTCGATTGGGAAAGACCTGAAGTGGTTGTAGCTCAGGTCAATATAAATCAGTGGCATGGGCCTCCAGTTTGAGTGTAGGTTGTTTTTTATTGCAATTTTTTCACCTACAATCTCACTATAAAGAGAATTTGTCTCTGACACCAAAGCAGCCTCTGAATAGGAACCGATCATGTTATTCTGTAAATAAAGATACCGCAAACGGTTCGTTTTCGGAACGATTGGAAAATAAAGAAGTTTGTTGTGGCTGAGATCAAGAACTTCAAGCCTGTACAGCCTGCTGTCCTCATGTGTGACAAAAAACTCTACAGAGTTTCTGCTCAGATTTAGAAATTTCACTTGACGCAATTTAAAATCACAAATGTGCGCAAGATTGTTTTTAGCCAAGTTTAACACCTCTAATTGGATCAGTGATTCGAACGTCCCTTCTTCGATCTCAGATATCAGATTGTCGTCAATAGCAATGGCCCTCAGGCTTTTACTCTCTGTGAATAATTTGTGTGAAAGTCTTGTTAAAGCATTACCGGTCATCTTGAGCTGATCGAGGGCGGATTTGTTTCTAAGGTAGTGCTCGGCTGCAAAGTCACTCAGGCCGTTCATTGATATGTCCAAATCCTTCAGCCCGCTGAGGGATTGGAGGGCTTTGCTGTTATTGCCAAGGTTGTTGTTTAGTTCGTTTCTGGACAAATTCAGCTGCTCAAGTCGAACCAGGTTTTCAAACAGCCCCTCGGAGATGAGATCCAGCTGGTTGTTGCTCAAGTCCAGCTGCTCCAAGCAAGGCAGCTCAAGCTTGTGCAGCTGTCTGATGAAGTTATTGGACAGGTCCAGTCTTCTGATCCTTATATCCAAATCCACAGGGATAGAAGAGAGATTCCGATTGTTCCAGGACTGCTCCTTGAAATTAAAGGAACACAGTGTGAGCCTCAGAGATGGGGCACTTTTAAAAAATATCAAAACCAGCAATTCTGTAGGCTTAAGAAATAAATAAATAGTGCAAATTTAAAAACATTTAGCATTTATATTGATCATGTTGAACCTACCCTCGAAGCATAATACGTCAGTCCTGTTACGCAAAGGTCATGGCTGAGTGACCAGAGTAGTAGGAAGTTGGAGAACATATGTCTGACCATTCTCCCTCTGCTGCTGCTGCTAAACTGTACCACTGCTGTTGTCAGAGCTCGTATGCACTCACACACACACACACACCAACACCCTCTTATAGCCATGCTTCATCAAAAAAAAGGGAGAGAGAAAACAGCTGTGGCCACCAGATAGGGAAGGTGGATACTATATTTAGACAATAAAGACATGACCACGTAGACCGCCTCTTTCTGTCAAGCTTAGGTCACATGTAAGCAAAAACCTTATAATTTGTAAAAAAACAAAACAAAAAAAAAGGTTTGTAGACAAACATATTGTGTTTTTAGTGCTAAGTGAAGCCACTTTTAGAGATAAATGCATTTAGAATTTGCTAGCACTTTAAATACAAGTTGAGAAATAATTTGCACCGACACATTATCCCATTTATAACAACTTTAATTAGATGATGATACATTATTTATTGTGGTATTCAAGAAACTTCCTGGGAGATAAATTTATACATTTGTTTGTTCCTGACAAAGTCTCTGGAAACGGAAAGCGTTTTAAAATAGACAAGAGGAACAAATAAGCAGACAGCGCGTAGGTGGAACAGGAGGGAAGCCCCCAGCAAGGTATAAAGGAACACGCCTAAAATAGACTGATGAAAGGAGGTGCTGGCACATGAGTACAAACTTTTGGGAGTCAGCCCAGGACATGCACCCAAATTCTACA